GACGAATTCCCAGTGATGTGATATGTAATTCCCTGTTTTGTATTAATTTAAATTGCCAGTATATATACCGCTGCATATATGAACTCAAACCTTCGGTTTGCACAAGGACGGGGCGTCCGGGGGCACCACTAGTCTAGGTAACAATCGAGAAAAAGATGTTTGATATGCATAATAGCTCCTTTCACTACCAGGTATATGCTCACCATAAATATGACCCTGCTTTTCTGATTTCACATCCCAAATATTCTGTATTTCACAAGCCTCTCCTGACTATCAGCAATGGTTAGTAAAAAATTGTAAGCTATTTCGATTAGGTGTGTGATATACGGTACCATAGCTAGACAGTCTTATGTAATGACGTAGATATCGAATTATTTAACCTAGTATAGAATTTAGCGACACGGGTCATTAAACGTAAGCAGATCACGTCATAGGTTATTTTAGTAACAGCCAAGGCAACAAGCGAAGGACACCTGCTCTCGTCACCGTGGCCGCACACGCCAGTCGCATGGCGCACGCGTGTCTTGCGTGTGACACAACAAAAGAAGAGAGAAAGTAATCACCTACACAAGGCGACACTATGACATTTTAGTACCTATAGAAGGACATCACACCTTGATGTCGCATGCCGACTGATAAAGAACAAACAACGAACGCCACCGACAAATGTGTACTATGTGAAATACGAGAACATGAATCGAACTGCCGCTATTCCCAAGGACTTCTAGAAGCTCCAGCTGCCGTTCTCACGCTAGAGAAGGAAGTCTCTCACCTTCAGTTGTCCATAAAATTCTGGAGAAGGACACAGGATTGCACCATCCGCACGCAACAAGGCCTTGACGCGCAGGCCACGCATTCCTCCAGTTGTATAAATACCGAACAGTTTCGACAAGAAGACGTTTTCGACACGGTTTCACGGTGCCTGACAGCTCGATCCCGACGCTGTCAGCACCAGGTTCCGCTGATCTCACCTAGCTGCTGGGGATCACCACGCTACCGTCGCTGCTGGACGTCACTGACTGAGGACCTGCCTGCTGCCTGCGACCTGCAGAACTCCACGCTCGTAAATATGTATTGCATTTATAAACTAGTCACTTGTCTGTATGTGCCTGGTGTATAAGATATGTATTGTATGTATTGTATCGTATTTACTGGTTGGCTTGCGTAGCCATCTATGTACTGTACGTGTTTATTATGTTGATGTTAATTATTAAAGAATAGAGTTACCATAGCAATTCGGTGGTTATAGCATTAATTATACTGTCTGTGGCTTAAGTGCAATTGCACACGTATCTGTTGTACAAACGAACCTGGACACACTATACGATCACACGCGCCTGCATGTTACACGAGCTCACGAGCTTTGTTATACCTATAGCTAAAATAATTTCCGCTATGCCGATTTTAAGCTTATAGAACGCGAAATAGGGTCCTAAGACATTCGGAGGGAGAGAATGCATCCTATACGCCGCGATATAAACGAGTTTGTCGTTACATGCATTCTCCAGTTACTCGGGGTCGCGCTCACTGATGACTACGTACGACTCACAGAGTCGTATGACTGAAGAGTTTTGGCAGCAGATGGTCTACGGCAGTTTCCTAGTCCCGCAAAACAAAAGGTTGCGCGTGGAAATCTGGTAAAATCTGATGTATTTGCTGCAAAATGGAGCGATTGCGACCTAACGTCGACGGCTCTTTCAACTGACAATAATCACGCGCGGTTTTAACCGCGACCGTGGCTTGATTACAACCCGTCCACGCGACGAAAGACATTTGATATTTAGAATAGTGATTTGATATCAATAACCTAGCGTATATGACAAACTACGCGTATATATTCGCCTGCTCGAAACAGTCGAGCTCTGCACGGACTTACAAACGACACTATAATACTCATAATACTCTATTTGATCCCTATTCGTAACATATACTAACAACCCGTAGACGACACTGTACATAGCTAGATAATTGTAGAAGCATCGCATTATCATGTAATGCCAAGAAAAGATTAGATCAGAGCACGTATATCATACGATATATATATGATATACTTGCTCTGGTTAGATGCCTAGAACTCTCTCGCGTAGCGACTAAGAAAACGGCAGCATATAGAGCTCTTGGCAACGCTAAAGATTATTACATAACCGAGTTATTAGAAAAATATAAATTAACGCTTTACACGCATTACTCGCATACCATCGTATACTTGAAGAATAATTATCTAATTGTGGTTTTTTATGACCATGATAAAATTCTTTGCATAACTCTTGAACATTTTTCAGGCGATAGGCGATATCTACCCGTTAATAAAGCTTTATTTAATACTCTGCTAAGCCCAAGACCCATAACATTCAGGATTCCCCGCGAAACGTCACCTTCAAAGCCTTGTAATACGCAGCTAACAACCTTTCCCGGCCACGCGATCAGGTTACCAGCGTCGTATTACCAGAGGTCTTCCGTACCGTACTGTACGTAATGCAGCATCGGTGGCATTACTGCTGTGTGTAGTGTGTGTAGTGTGTAGTGTGTGTAGTACAATCGAGAGTGTAAGTGGGCATATGCGTTTCTCGTTGATATGCGACACTGATTACAGAGGGGCTGTATAGACCCAACACTCCCTCATGTCTGCTTATTGCTCTGCCATGGGAAAGGGGGCGTTTGGCTAACATATTCTGCGTGCAAATTATATATTGCTCAACAACAGCATGACTACGCATACACCACCCACGTGTATGGCAGGCGAGGTGGGACACAAATGGTATTTAGTGACAGTCACAAATTCGAATTATAATGTCTATCATATATTCTATTTAGTGACTATCATATAATCCATTTAGTGACAGTCATTAAATCAACCAATCAGATCAAACTTATTTTTTCTCAGCCAATCATAGGCATGGAATTATTGACAAACACTAAATGATTTAATGATAGACACTAAATACCATTTGTGTCCCACCTCGCCTGCCATACACGTGCAGCTACACTAATGCATCACTATTATATGCAGGGTGCGAAATTAACGGGAGTCCGGAGTCAGATACTCCCTGATTTACTGTCGGACTAACTGATTTGACATATATGCAGGAGTCCTGAAAATTCTGCCATACTAACTAGTTCGTTCCGGATACGAACGGATACGTTCCGGATACGTCCGGAGCACAGCCTCGCGGAATTACCGTAATTTTCAGCTAATGTCAAAGAAAATTTGGCAGACGAGGTGCAACCGCATGAATCTTAAAAATAAGCACATGCGTTATTGTTAATATCTTTAATTTTGAGCCTCAGACTGCGGACCATTGTAATCATTTTGCTGCGGACTCCCTCTTACATGCACCCCCTCCCTGATCAATCACGCATTCAGGCGTAAACAATCACAGAGATGAAATTGTGTTGAGTTTGTGGCTCTTGACGCACGTGCATTGACGTACAAGACCGTTGAAAGCACAGGCACTTGGAACGCCTCAATAAAAATAAATATTCACACAATTTTTCACAATTGCCTGTGTGCAAAATAGGTGAACGTATGTGAAACATATACGGTTAGTACTTAATGTGACATATCGGTGACTAACTGACACCACTAAATTGGTAAAATGTTCCATGCACCTTAAGAAATTCTGAGAAATTACGGCATTTCATTATTTACGAAAAGTAAACAGGCTGGCGAAAGACAGTAGGTACAGTAACGGGTCACGTCGTTGAAGCCCAATTCATGCCCATCAACGAAGAAGGCGGGGCTTATTCTGATTACGGAGATGCGAAAATGCTATGTAGAAGGACGTAGCGCAGTGCGCTAAACAGTGTGTTATTTTCGTATTTGTGGCAAACTCTATCGTAGGAAACCGTTCTAACATAGCAGAATGCCCTAGTTCCTGAGATCGGCGATTTGGTGGTCCAATGGGTCCCTATATTTAAAAATATAAAGGACTGGTGCGGCGCAGGCTGTGATTGGAAGACACAAATGTTACGTTTGATGCTCACGCATATGCAAAACCAACGCAGATATCTTTTTAGATTAACTCGTTTTAATTGATTCTACACCATGCGTGCATACCACGCGGCACACACCCTGTGTTCTCTATGCGACGTCTGGCGGGCATATACCATAACATCTCCTCTCTTTAATAAAAATAACCATTTCCTGCGTGAGTGCTTCATAGGCATGCACTAGAAATATATATATGTAACTCAAAATCCGCAGGGTACTTCAGTGCTTATCATATACATTACAAATTCAACCTCTCTGGTGCCTTAACCGCTCGGCCCGATCTCGTGACATACGTGTTGACACTATGTGAGCTGTTAAGTGTAGCATGTGGTACACTGGCAACACTAACAGGTGTCTCTATCTTGCAACTAGAAACTGATGAACATACCCGCTCAAAATTGAAATTTTCGCCTGTCTGTCTAATCTGTCTCCTGTTCCGTCTATACCGTGCACCCGTCTCAGCTTCGACAACATACGAACGTTATAAAGAAGACGCTAGAAAAAGCTCGAGAATCTGGACAGGATCCCGCGCTAGCATTGCTGTGTATTCGTACTACGCCACTGAGTGCAAGAATACCATCACCAGCCGAGCTGCTATTCAACCGTAAGATACAGTCTAACTTACCTATGGTTAACATGACTGCGAAGGACGAAGAAGTACAGGAAGGAATGAGAGACAAGCAAGATAGATCACAGGCTCGGTATGATGCTCATACAAAACCGTTACCTGAACTACAAGCTGGACAAAGTGCTAGGATACAGCACCCAGTGACAAAGAGATGGGAACCTGCTATAGTTAAAAACGAGTGCACAGAACTACCTAAAGCTTGAGAGGAATCCTAGCAGAGTATGGAATCCCAGAGACAATCATATCTGACAACTGGGCCGCAGTATAGCAGCAGTGAATTTGCGAAATTCGCAGAAGAGTACGGGTTCAAGCATGTAACCAGCAGCCCAAATTATCCCCAGGCGAATGGAAAGGCGGAAAGATATGTTGGTGGAATCACACCTGCTGATGTTATGGTTGATAGCTTCCTCACGATTGGGAATGAGCTATAATAGTCTACCACAATGAGGTAATGCGCCTGATTCCACACGAATAAGTCAGAACCAACCATTTGCCATGGTCTCTGCGCTTCAATGTGTATCATTGGCTCCGGTGCCTGTGATGTCTGGTTTCTTTGACACGCAGCGCACTCCTTGACCATCTTTTCGATGTCAGCATTAATTCCACACCAGAAAACCGTTGCTCTGGCTCTCAGTCGACACTTCTCAACCCCTTGATGTCCTGCGTGTATCTTCTTCATCACATCCTCCTGCATCTTCTTAGGAACGATAACTCTGTCCCCTTTAACAAGAATGCCGTCATAGATGCTAATTTCATCTCGATAGTTCCAATACTCGTGTATTGCCTTTGGACAGTTCTTCCGTAGATCTGGCCAACCTGTCATAACTATCTCCTTGAGAGTTGTAAGGACAGTGTCTTCACTGGTCATCTGCTTGATTTGCTGTAACCGTGTCTGTACTACGTTTACCATCTCATGCACTATAACATCCATGTCAGGGATTGCTCTCCCTGCGATCGGAACTCTCGATAATGCATCAGCAATTGGTATGTTTTTTCCTGGTACATACGTAACCTCGAAATCATACCTCTGCACACGTAATAGCATACGCATTAGTCTTGATGGTGCACTTGACAGGCTCTTGTTTGTAATACTCTGTAATGGCTTGTGATCGGATTCTACCATCACGTGTCTACCATATATGTAGTAGTGAAAACGCTCCAGTCCAAACACTACAGCGAGCATTTCTCGTTCAATGTTAGCATAGTTGCTTTCCGTTTCTGTCAAGCTTTTACTAGCATATGCAACTGGTCGTCCGCCCTGCAGTAGTGTAGCTCCAACTCCCCGTTTGCTGGCATCTGTCTGCACAGTCACCGGCTTCGATGGGTCGAAATATGCTAGCACCTTTGATGAGCTAATGGCCATCTTCAACTGATTGAGTGCTGCCTGGTGTTCATGGCTCCAGATGAAATCCACATCCTTTTTCGTGAGGTCTCTGAGCGGTGCCGTGATCGTGGCTAACTTCGGCGTGTACCTTCCCAGGCAGATTGCGGTGATGGCATATCTGTTATAGCAGCTATCTTGTCAGGGTCTGGCTCTAGACCTTTGTCAGTGAGATAGTTGCCAAAGAACTTAATCCTTTGCTTCTTTATCACACACTTACTTGGATTCAACTTTAGCCCTACTTCCCGTGTTCGCTCTAGAACCTTGATGAGATTTCCATCGTGCTCGGCATCGTTGGCACCAAATACCACTATGTCATCAGCAATGCCTACTACACCCGGTATGTTCTCAAAGGTCTGGTCAACTTTCTTCTGGAAAACGTCTTGGGCTGAGACAATACCGAATGGTAATCTTTTGAAACAATACCGCCCAAAAGGTGTGTTGAACGTTGTGAGCAATCTTGATTCGCCGCTGAGTTTTACATTCCAATAACCCGATCGGGCATCTAAGATGCTAAACACCTTAGCGCCTGTAAGTTTCGGTAATACATCGTCCAAGGTTGGTGTGTAATGATGCTCTCTCTTGATCGCCTTGTTGAGTTGCCGCGGGTCAAGACAAATCCTCAAATCACCGTTCGGTTTCGTGACACACACTAGACCATTCACCCAGTCTGTGGGTACGTCTACCACTTCGATAATGTCTAGGTCTATCATGCGCTGTAATTCCTGCTTAAGCGGTTGTTTCAACGATTCTGGAACACGTCGCGGTGGCTGTATGACTGGTTCTGCATCCGTACGTAACCGAATGTGGTATTCTCCTGGAAACAGTCCTATTCCTTGGAAACAATCTGGATATAGCTTCATCATGTCTTCTTTTGGATCAGTGGCGATCGATCCAAATATCGTCACGCTCGACTTTTCCTTGGCTGTATCATATTCCCTTTTCACCGCCGCGACTTCACTGTTCTCGTGGCAACCTGAGCATGCGGACTTCTTTTCACAGTTCAGTGTTATCAGCCCTAATGCTATAGACGAGCGCAGTCCTAGCATCGTGTATCCTTGTGCCTCTGTCACATGAAAACTTAGGTCATGCGTTCTTCCCCTATGGTGACAACGTACATCGAGTGTGCCATACTGCTTGATCTGCGATCCACCATATGCATGTAGTTTCACTGTCGAGTGTTTCACGGCTGTCGGTCTCCCGTGTTTATCTGTTCCGTCTGGGTATACCTGTCTGTATACATGTACTGGCATTACGTCGGTCTGAGCACCACTGTCTATTTTGCATTTTACACTGTAAATGCGTTTATTGTCGGTCCTGACAATTATGTTGGCGAATGCCTGATCTTTTGGCCCATCTTTGTATATAGTCTCGATCTCTACTGCCTCCAACAGAAAACCGTCGAACTGCTCAGTGACGTCATGCACCTGTCCACTGTCAGTGTAGTGTTTAGTCTGGCTTCTCGGTAAGATTCGCTCACCATACGGCCTTGATCTGCTTGTGGCCCCTGTTGCTGCCTGTTGTGCTTTCTTTCTAGCAATGCAAACTCTGGCCCAGTGCCCAACTTTATGACAAAAGTTGCACTGTGAGCTAACAGCAGGACACTTGCTGTCACGTGCATGTGCTCCACCACAGTTCCAGCACCCCTTATTTGGCATGTCAACATGAGCAGACTTGTTACTTATTCTAGGCTTTATATCGCCCGCACGTTTACGTATGACTTTATTATTTAAGCCGTGCACTCTCATTGCAAATAGCCATGGTAAGAGGTTATGAGGCAACACTCAACCAAATGAGTGAGATACAAGGGCCTCAGACCTTGCTCTACACTGGGAGAAGTTCAGAAGCTACGTTAAGCCAAAGTCTAATTTTAGAGTAGCCAGGTTTCAACTACGTGCATTGACACAAGACCCAAGCGAGACCGTGGACGCATTCATGACGCGTGCACGGATTGTGTCAAGGGAGTGTGAGTACACCGACACAGACGAACAACTGTTGGACTCTCTAATAGCAGGTGTGCACAGCAAAGATATTCAGAGGAAATTAATTGCAAGAGACAATACTTTAACACTTGACCAGGCTTGTGCAGCTGTCAACTCCCAACTCTCCCGAATGTCTCTGCCCTCTTCACCTATCCACAGCATCAAATACTGGGTTTTCACTGCGTCAGATTTACGTTCCAGTGGGCCTTTAAATATAAACTCACATGTCTGCTGAAATTTCCTGAATGCCTCTGGGAGGTTATTTGCATTCCAGTCCATGGAGGGAAACACGCAACACGGAACAAAGATGACGGAGCTCACAGGCATACCAATAGTACACCTACTTGACATAGGGATTGCAAGTACAGCACAGCGATTGACCTCACACTGGTAACATAGACTTGCGTACGCAGTTGTGGAGGAATATACAGGACTCGTTGAGGTGTGGATACTAAGGCTTTTTCGTCTTTGCCGTTAGCAAACTGCTGCTATTGTGACGTGACGTACTTCGTTTCTATCTTCTGACACCATGTTATGTTTGATGCTCACGCATATGCAAAACCAACGCAGATATCTTTTTAGAATAACTCGTTTTAATTGATTCTACACCATGCGTGCATACCACGCGACACACACCCTGTGTTCTCTATGCGACGTCTGGCGGGCATATACCATAACAGCCTACTCATTTGCTGACAAATACAACAAGATTAAGATTCCAAGTACACAAATTCTCATTTATTTTACCAAAAAAGTTATTTAACAAAAATTCGGATTAAATACATTGAACAATAAATCGTCTTGTTATTATACCAACAAAATTACTAACCATGAAATTATTATTTCGTATTTTGATTTCGTTATTTATAATTTTATCATCATTATTTACAAGATGGCAGCTCTGTGGTGGACACCAGGTGGCGACGGCTCAGCGCTGGTGGACACCAGGCGGCGACTGCTGAGCGCTGGTGGACACCAGGCGGCGGCGGCTCTGCAACAGGCACCAGGCGGCGACAGCTCTGCAGTGGTGGACACCAGGCGGCGACAGCTCTGCAGTGGTGGACACCAGGCGGCGACGCCTCTGCGCTGGTGGACACCAGGCGGCGACGCCTCTGCGGTGGTGGACACCAGGCGGCGACAGCTATGCGGTGGTGGACACCAGGCGGCGACGCCTCTGTAGCCAGCTTTTCGGTGATGTCAAAACATATACAGACGCATTTTGCAGCCAACATATCGTTTATTGTAATGACAGGACAACTCCATGTTGTACTGCCAGGAGAGCCATAGAGAAATTTGAAGTCCTAAAAATGCGTTATCGTTATATTGAAGTCAATTCCGCACTTCGAAACATTTATTCAACTATCCCATCAGGATGCCAGAGTGTAGAGTATCTGGTTTGCAGACAAGAGTACAGATGACAGTCCTAGTTGTCACGTTCGTTAATGTGTTAGACTACAACTAAAGATCTATGCACACACGCGCGCACACATGCACACACGCGCGCACACATGCACACACGCGCACGCACACACCCGCAGCCCACCCCAACACGAGACCATACAAAACACACAATCGATACGTACATGCCAACATGTGACGTTTGTATTCATGACAATAGCCGAACGAAAAGAAATGACAATTTCGAAAAAAGTTCCAAAAAAACATTGCAGAACCTATACATGCAATATTACGTGACACGTGTTATGAAGAAATGAATACAACATAAGTACATATAGATGTTCACGCCACAGACGGCATTGCAATGATATCCGTATATCTGCACGTACCACGTTACGACGCACAAACAATGTGGTAAATAGGTTCATGCATAACAATTTTAATCCCTCATTTAATGTGCCGATAAATATATATATATATATATATATATATATATATATATACT